ATATCATCGAAAATTTTCTCTCTATTCATTTAATGTGTTTCAAATATAAATTTTTATATCGCTGTCGTTGCAATAAGATAATGCAACGATTATTTACACCGGAGTAGTATGTATTATACAATACGTGTTGACCGATAAGGGTTTCTTAACTTTTACCAGTCGTTAGCCTATTCCCTGCTGTGACGCAGCAAGCTTAATTTGAAGTAGGAATTTTCAACATAAAAAGATAGCCTTCAAGTTACAAGCATGTTTTAACAACCAATATATTTTTTTAAACATGAAGACTTTTTTTGTGTTTTTGTATAGTGTTTTACGGCGCTCGCAACTGCATAAGGTCATATGAGCGCGCGGGACACACCTAATGTTTTCAGTTGGTAGGAAATTTTGAATTTTGCCAGGTTGGCGGCCGAAGCCTATTCTTATCGATTTTAGACCACCAAGGGATCTTTAACGAACGCAACTTGCACATGGGCCCTTCGAGATTTTTCGCCCTTGTCCGAGAAGGCTAGGTGTAGATCTTTCCAACCAGAAGATCAGGGGTGCGGCTGAAAGACAGCAGTAAGAAGAAGCGAAGGAGAAGCAGTAGAAAGGCTGCAGAAAGAATCAGGAGCACAGAGGAAGGGGCAAAGGAGGTGAGGGGGTGGGGGCAGAAAGAGGAGACGAAAGCAGACGACAGAACATTGCTGGAGAGCAGGAAATTAGGTGAAAGGAGACAAATTTAGAGAAGAAAATTTTTCGGTCGCTACCTGGATTCGAACCTGGGACCTTTTGAATGAGAGGCCAACACCTTAACCTCTAGGCCACGAGAGCCCCCCCCCCCATGAAGACTTTATATTTTATAGAAGGATTCAGTTGCAATATATGCAGGCAGAGATTTATGACGAAAACGAGGTCTTATAAAAATCAAAACAGCAAACAGAAAAAAAACAAAAAATAACAAAACTAGAACAAAAACAACAAAAACCCAACAAACAATAGCATAGCATTTAGGTCTAGGAGTTAATGTTTAAAAAAAAATAACATTACGCACTTGGATAGAATGACTTTGGCAATACATGTAATATCGGTACCTCTTGAATCTATTTCCGACGCATTTGCTTTTGTTTTTGTTTTTGTAAAGTGTTTTACGGCGCTCGCAACTACATAAGGTCATATGAGCGCGCGGGACACACCTAATATTTTCAGTTGATAGGAAATTTTGAATTTTGCCCGGGTGGCGGCCGAAGCCTACTCTTATCGATTTTAGACCACCAAGGGATCTTTAACGTGCGCAACTTGCACACGGGCCCTCCGAGATTTTTCGCCCTTGTCCGAGAAGGCTAGGTGTAGATCTTTCCTACCAGAAGATCAGGGGTGTGGCAGAAAGACAGCAGTAATGAGGAGCCAAGGAGTAGCAGTAGAAAGGCTGCAGAAAGAGTCAGGAGCCCAGAGGAGGGGGCAAAGGAGGCGTAGGGGTGGGGGCAGAAAGTGGAAATGAAAGCAGACAACAGAACATTGTTAGAGAGCAGGAAAGGAGGTGAAAGAAGACAATTTTAGAGAAGAAAATATTTTTGGTCGCTACCCGGAATCGAACCAGGGACCTTTGAATGAGAGGCCAACACCTAAACCTCTAGGCCACGAGAGCCCCCACGCATTTGTAAACACACACTGTACGTACAAAGCTCAAAAGTGACGTATCATTTAACCAGACATAAAAATTAAATTATCTGATCAAAAGACCTACTATGTCTCTCTGTTCTAAGTGTGACAATTCAAATAACCGTGATTCATTATGAAAAGAGGATGCAACAGATACATCACTCACCTTATTAAGAAAATTATAATTATTTCTCATCCATCACTGGTTTTAAATGATGCTCAGATATCCCAAGAATTAGTTTCGTCTGTAAAATCTGTCACTTTCTCCACCAATCACAACATTATCACGGAATGAATTTTTAAATTAACAAAACAACAGTGAGAGTGAGATCGTAACAAACAATAGGCCTACCTTCAAAAGACACCAGACTTAACGACTTTAAAAAGAAAAAAAACAGAGGAAACAATTAATGGTTTTTCAATCTAGAAACTTTGCAAAAAAGAGTCATTTTCAAAGAATCAAAGTGAACATTAGGCATGAATGATACTAATACATTTCATTGTGTGTTCTGGGTTTAAAAGAAGATATTATTATTATTTAAACGTAGGCCTACCTCCTCAGTATCGTTCTAAATAAGCTATCGCAGATTTAGCTCTGACTTGTGCTCGTCTCTCTACTACTACTCAGAGAAGCTGTGAGCCGGAATAAAATGATCGTTTCTAAAATGTGGCACTTCTATTGTGCGGTCATTGATAAAGGAGGATATCTTTTTCATCTCTTAGGGTATTTCTTTTTGCCATTGTCTTCATTGTCTGCTGCAAGTGGCAATGTGGATATTTCAAAAGCTGAATCGATTTACGTTTCTACTGTTGATTTTTTGTTTCGTTCAAAGTATCAGAGGAGTGCTCACGCGCGCGCGAACGTATGTGTGTGTGTGTGTGTGTGTGTGTGTGTGTGTGTGTGTGTGTGTGTGTGTCTGTGTGTGTATGTGTGTGTGTGTGCATAATGCCTAAGGACATTTATAAACAAGCGTGTTTGTTTTCGTGTAAGAATTTTTGTGTATGTGTCTGTGCCTGTGTGTGTATGTGTGTTTGTGTATGTGTGTGTTTGTGTGTTTGCCTGTATATATTTATGTGTGACTGTGTGTGTGTATGTTTGTGTGTGCGAGAGAGACAGGGGGAGAGAGAAAGAAAGAAAGACAGAAAGACAGAAAGAAAGAAAGAAAGAAAGAAAGAAAGAAAGAAAGAAAGAAAGAAAGAAAGA